TTTACATAATATCCAGAAGACAGCACGTTTAGCAGCACAGTACCCCCAGTGCCACAGGGAATTGGTTCATTACTGACCCAGAGGGAAGCATACTAATGTGACACTAAGCACCATGGGTGTAATTTGGGCAGATACAGGGAGGCATTGCCCCCCCAAACAGAGGCGAAGGGTATGGGGGTGTCAAGCAGGGTCACATGACACTCTCTCCCCATTTCTGCAAGCGCCGAGCTGCCCTGCAAGGCTTGCTCTGCTCGGTCTGCCTGGGAGTGGAGCTCTTTCTCCCATGCTGCTCCTCCTCCCTCCCAGCCCCCCCGCACGTTTTGGCTGGCAAGGAGCAGATGGGTGCGATGGAGCAACTGTTCTCCTGCGCTCTGTGTCACTGTCTTGGCAGCTCAACGCCACCTCCTGGGTCCTAGTGCCCACCTTTCTCCTGTACAATGGTGAGTGCAGGGGGGGCAGGGCAAGGGGGCCGGGGTGGGGCTGGGGTAAATGCAGTGCAAGGGGGGGAAGATTCTGGGATAGGGAAGGGGGAAGAGAAGGGGCTGGGGGTTCAGGTGAGGTCGAGGACAGTGGGGAGAGGTAGGGGGATACGGGAATGGGCAGGGGTCAGCAGGAGCCTGGCATGTGGCGTCCCCTTGGTGGAAGCAGCAGCCCTAGCAGGGAGGCGGCCGCAGCAGCATCAGAGCAGCGACATCGCTGCAGCAGCTGGGGCTCCTCCATTGGGCTGTCCCGTCCCCACCAGCTCTGGCTGCCCCGGTGTAACTCTAGGCGGGGGGAGAGAATCAGTGAGCCAAGGGAACTGGCTTCAGTGTGCACATGTGTGCGTGCACGCTTTGCCTCCCCAAATATAGCAGTCAAACTGTGCCTATGCTAAGCACCCCGGTATTCACACACTGCGCAGAATTGTAACAATCTCTGAATGAAATATGCCTTGTGAGGTATCTTTTGAAAACCAGTAACTCACTGATCATAAATATTCTTGCATGATGTATGCACATAATGGGTATTAAGATAGGTACTAGATTTATGACTAAAGTGTGTATAAGCCAAGCTTGTCGTGGGAGCTGGTAAACAGGTCTGCTTAGACAAAGGAATGTGTATTTGATCCTTTCACCAGCCCGATCTTCTTCAGGCAAAAACTGCAAAGGTCCATATTTACGTATAAGCAGTAAACAGGACCATCAAGACGGCAGTGGGAGGAGATGGCAGGAAACAGAACAATTTGCATTTCAGCAAACACAAGTGGGGGAGGAAAGAGCATGGAGCTTCCTTCACCACCAGACTCTGTCACCTCCCTCACAACTTGAATAAGCTTTACTTTCAGGAGCAACCTACAGAAGAATATACTCCAAAAGTTTGCTGGTCTGTAAAGACAAAGGGGGCCGAACCTCAAGTGATAAGCAATTGAATCAACTGATTGTATACAATGTTACTGTATTATAAAAGTGTGTAGAGTGAGGTCTTTTCTGAAAGCTAATGACACACTGGTGATTAATACCATTGTGAAATGTCTGTATTAACATTATGAGGAAATGTGGATAGTTAATGATATTATGTTTTAAAGTCTGTGGCCAAACAGGGATAAACAAATTCCTTCCCAGACAGGAGAGACGGCAGCCTGTTTATCTGTCTCCTATGTAAATTAAGCATGGTGGAATCAAAACAATGGAAGGACCATTTACATACAGGGGGGATGGGAGGCCCACAGGAAGGGAAGAACAGCATGAGGTCATCCTGCCTCTTGAAACAAAGTCATTGAACTTTGGGAAATGTAAGAAAGGACAGAAGCCATCTTTGGCATCCATCACTAGACAGACATAAGGAAACAGAGCTCTTGCAAGCTGAGAAAGATGGGTCCTTCAACCAAAGGGAGGTTGAAGACTCTGGAGACTGAATATAGGTGAGAAACCTGCTGAGGCAAAGATTGTACTTTCCTAGATTAATTTTTAGACTTTTAGATGCATGTTTTCACTTTTATTTGCTTGTAACCATTTTTAACTTTCTCTCGTACACGTGAACTCACTTAATACCCTGTCTTCTTTTGTTAATTAACTTGTTTTACTAATAATCAAAACCAACAGAGCTGTGTTTGAATGAAAGTGAATGTTAACTCCAGTTAAAGTGGCAAGCCGAGGGGTTTCTGTGTTTAGAGGACCAAATGGGCCTTATCACTTCTCTGAACCGTCCACGAGAGGGCTGGACATTGCAGAGCACACGGTTTTGTGCGAATTTTAGACTGTGAGCGTGTTGGAATCACCTTGCTGGTTGTAACCAAGGCTGGTGGAAGCCAGAGTGTGACTGTGAAGTGTTACTGGCAGGCTGCTGTGGTCAGAGTTACTGGACCAGGGCTGCAGCTATACATAGACACTCAAGGTGTGACCTGCATGCTTGTAGGTTGGTTATGAATATCCCAGGCAGCGAGTTACAGTAGCAAAGCATTTGAGGCACCCAAGGTTGCAGGGCAAGTGATGACACAACCTTTCACTGGTCTGGATTGCACTCCCAAACCCTATCACAACTGCATACTGAATCACCAGAGACTTCCCATAGAAATACTTTGGTTTTCTTGGAAGTCTCCCATTGAATTGTTGACTAGGCCAGGCTTTACCCTGTTTAGTTTTTGAGAGATGGCCCAAGATGGTACAGTTGCAGATCTAAAAACACTGGTTGTGTTACAAGTAATGTTTATAATACTATTGCAGGAGGGTTTAATGCAGCTGGAAGCTAAATGTGCAGTAAAACTGAAAGGGTCTTAAGCCAAAGCTTTAGAATAAGTACATTTAATTCTTTTTTTTTCCCCTGTAAAATCTAACAAATTATGAAAATTTTTATAATGAAATTCAATTTATTGTGAGCTGAATTTAAACAGCTTATGATTTAACAGATTTAGGGACAGTAACTTTGAGGTAAATAATAGTAATAACTGTATCACTAAGGCTCTGATCCTGCAGACACTTACCACATGTTTAGCTTTAAGCATATACATCATTCCTGGAGGGAAGTGAGCCATTGGGATTACGCATATGCTTAAAGTTAAGCAAGTGGGTGGGTAGTTGCAGGATCAGGGCCTTATTTAATATATTACTATTAAAATGATGGTTTATAATACATGCATCTTATCGTATATTCATTCTTTCTTTCACTCCACCAAACTTCTTCCTCCCATTGGTGTTCACTTGCAGTTCAGTAAGTAATATAGCAGGGAAAAGTTAAGTGTAGCTGTACAGAATGGCTGCCTCATATTCACAATTTATGTTCGCTTATTACTATCTTTGTCTAGATCATTCATTTGGACATGCCTTCATCTATTCTAGATGTGTTCATTTACCCAACATATATGTACTCAGATTGACTTTTTATAAGAACATGTATTAGAAAATGTTTCCTTCCTTTTGATTAAGAAAATACATGTGAATGTCAAGAGGATGTTTTAAAATATAAAATTAGTTGAGCAATAAGTTTATCATCATTATATTAAATTGGCATTAAGTTGGACAAAGCAACCTTTTGGGAAAGTTTTCTTTTATTGCTGGTAGCAGTGTTTTGATGCTGATGCCTTTTCAGTTTGAAGAAACTTTTTCTGCTAGCTCAGGATTTATTTAAATTTGTTGTTATTTCAGGAGACAAGGTAGGTTAAAAGTTTTCTTTTATGTTTCAAAAATCCTTATCTCTGTTAAGATCTGAGGATTTTAGAACTGAAAAGGGGTTTTCAAAAAATCAAAAAGAACTTTCACAATTTTATGCTGCTTGTTTGCCTTTTGCCCTTCACTTGGACAAAGAAATTAGACTGGTCTGTTTTGCTCTCTGGTTTTCGGTCACTAGCACAGTGATTCTCAGACTGGTTGGTGGACCACTTGCTGGTAGTCTGTGAAGAGCTGGCATGTGACTGAGCTGGCTAGACTTTCAAAGATTTTAGACACCTAAAGTTCCAGATAGGTGCCAGGGGGAATTTTCAAAGGTACTTTCGCACATTAGGCACCTAACTCTTATACAGTGAATTGAAATCATTGGGAGGTAGGTGCCTTTGAAAATCCCAGTAGGTGCCTATCTGCATCTTTAGGCTCCTGAATAACATTGTAAATCTGGCTCATGATGCTGCAGCTACTTCTCTTTATTTACAACTATGAGAAACAGAATAGAACAGTGATGGGCAACCTGTGGCCCATGGGCCGCACGCAGCCCGTCAGGATAATCCACTGGCAGGCCATCAGATATGGGGAGCTGCTTCCCGTAGCTCCCATTGGCCGGGAATGGCAAACCTTGGCCACTGGGAGCTGGGGGAGGCTGTGCAAATGTAAACAGTCTGGCGGCCCGCCAGCGGATTACCCTCATGGGCCGCATGCGGCCCACTGGAATAGATGGAAAAGGGAGATGAAATCAAGAGAGTGACTAAATTTCTTTCAGAAAAGGAAAAGATGCATTGCATTGAGGACATTTACAAATGCCTAAATCCTTTCCTAATATTACAATTCCCTCAGAGCAATTGCTTTAGTTGCTACAGGGAATCTATACCATTGTGAATGGAAGAGAAGATAGTCCAGGAAACAATCTGTCTGTTAAGATGTGGACCACATCGCAGTGCCAGCCCCTGCACTAACATCATGCTGCAGTCTCTGCAAACACTTCAGGGAATCCCCTAAAAATAAAATGTTCTCAATGAAATTAAAAAAAAAAATCCTTGAAAACATTTCTGTTAATATCAGGTTTTGTAAAGCCTGTTTCCCAAAGGGGATGGTGAAAGAGACTTTTACAGACTGTCTGCATGTTTTTGTGTCTTCCTTTAATTGTGCTTCTGGCCTGAAGAATTTAATCCCTTGTTGTTACACATCCCTTTAATCCCTTCAATTGATACACACTTTTAATACGATACAAATACACACATTCCCTTGTGCAGACGGTGAGATGTTAGATGTTTTACGTAATGTTTGTTTTGCTCGTACAGGCCGAGGAAGTAATATTATAGATTTGAATGTAATTCATTCATGTGGTTATATTAACAGATGATCCCTTAGCAATTGACCTCAATTCCGATTGGAATGCTCCCACAGAGGAGTGGGAAAACTGGCTGGGAGAGGAGGAGACGTGCACAGGACCAGAGAGAGAGAAGGTGAGGGAATGACATACGTGAATGTGTGAGCATTGCCACGTTCAATGAAAAGCAATCAAGGGAGAGCCTGGGTTGGACGGTGAGATCACCCCTCCGCGACCTGTTTGGGGTATCTAGTGCTGCAGGTGGGCACAGGCACTGCATTCCCATGTCATGCTAGGACTGACCCAAGGGCACAGTGGGAGGAAAAGGCTCCTTGTGCCAATTCCTCCTCCTCTCACTGCCGTGTGTTTACTTTTGGGGACTAGTTGCAATCCAGCCTCATAAATCTGAAGTCAGCTGATTTCTGCGAGTTTATCAGCAGTGTGGTGGTGCTGTTACGTGCAATCAGTGTTCAGTCTGTTTGCCATGCTGCAGAAAAGCACTCCTACTGAGGCTGACATTCCAGAATGTCTGAGCCCTAACTGATCAAAGTCCACAGCAAACACAAGAAACCTATTTTCACACCTTCCCATTTTGTTCACAGGTACATATTCAAATGAGAGCATTCAGTTAAACTGACGTTCACAACTTGGGCAGACAACCCAAGGCACAATGCTTGCTGACTAAACTCCTTCTCCTACTAGAAACCCAGGCAAAGGCTGCCAAGTTTATCAACTAGTCCAGGCAGGACTCTTTGAGAGTGGATGTAGAAGAGCTTTCGGAGCTCTTTGCAGGCAGCTCTCTCAGACCAGTCTATTAGATCCCACTTGGGCTGCTTGAACACAAGTCAGAGGCTCTAAAGAGAGTTTCCATAGAAAAAGGACCCGCAGATCCATTACATCAGCACATGGTTCTAGAGAAAGCTATCCCCAGCCTCCTCTAACAAAGGATACTGGGTCTTCAGTGCTGCTTAGGACTTGCCAAAAGGCAGAGAGGAAATTTGTTCCTGTCTCTCTGAAATGGCAAGAAAGAAAGTAGAACCCCAGGAAAACTTGGGTGGAGCTGAAATGACACCTTTGAGTTTAATTGCTAAAAATGGATGTAGATAGTCTTCTCTGCTGTGAGGATCTGAGGGCCCCCCCCCCCAAAAAGTTGCAAGTATACTGTCAAGGGGACCCTGTCACAACATGGTATTCCCCTAACATGGCTATAAAATAGTTCAGTATTGCAGTGTAGATAGGAACAGGCTGTGTTAACCGTGGAAAATCCAGTGCTGTAACATGTTTCTGAGACATGTTTAAAACACACTTCAGCTCTGTCTGCACTGCAATCCTGAGCTGGGTTTTAACTGAATTGGGGGGCTGCAGTGTTGTAACCAGGTCACCTGACAGAATTTTCCATAGTATAGATGAGACCTTGGGCACCAATTAAGATTAAACAGGAACACCAATTAAGATTCTGCCATTTACAAGTTTACACAGCGAGAGTTCCCATAGAGAGCCCTGCAGGGTGAGGAGAATGTCATCTCAGCACACTTGGTATGGTTGGTGTTAAAAGTCACAACTATGAAGTGAGAGTACCGGTTCGCCCACCAGTCTGAAAAGTACTTGCTACTCTGAGGAAAGGGATGTGGAGAAAACCAACCAAAATATATTGAGTTTTTAATTGACTTTAACAACAGACACCTGGACTTAGTAAATTAACTCTGAACATTTACAGCAGTACAATATTCTTGGCCTTTCACACACCTTATAAGAGTCCATCTGTGGGATTGTGTATGCAAGACCTAACCTTTGGGACTTTTTTGCTCCCTCAACTGCTTGGGCTGCAGTGTCTGATATTGTCCCCAGCTTACATTAGAGCAACCTTTAGAGTGCTCCAATTTATGTCATCTGGTATTGGTCCCCAAAGGGTCATTGTAACAGCCAGGAATCTCTGGAGTACAGCCATGCCCTTTCCCCTCAACATGTCCCCTACATTGGCAGTTGCAAGGTGAGGAGGTGACTTAAGGGATGTCTACTCTGGAGCTGAAAGGTGTAATTTCTAGCCCAAGTGGACATATCCGCGCTAGCTGTGATAGAGCTAGCCTGCTAAAAATACAAATGTAACTGCAGCGGGCTAGCTACCCTGAGCATTAACCTGTTTGAGATCCTACACACCCCTAGATCCAGTTATGATAACTCAACACCACTTGAGGCTTCCCCTATGCAAGGGAATCCTCAGCTGTCCACTGTGTTGCTGCAAAGATAGCTTTGGAAACATAAACCAGTGTTACATGATTCCTAGACTTGGAAGGAACAAGCAGCTAGACTCCACTTTTGCAGCACGAAGCTTTGAGGTTGGAGAACTAAAAGAGCTCTCATACACACAAACATTGGTGTCAATTTAGTCACTTAAGTTTGGCATGTATCTCCAAGAACTACCTTCATAAATCACTCCAGAATCCTTAGGCCTGCCCTGTGTATACTGGTGTGATCATGGGGAACAGAAGTTGGTTACACTTGGGGGAGAAAGTGGCAAAAACTGGTTTTCAGGCTAATCCCAAATGTTGATGCTGGCTGCTGTGCAAGTTATTCATACAGAAATAGATATAAATAATGTAAACGTACAAGTCGAGATCCAGATATAGCTGCTCATGAGAATCTCTGTGCCTCATCAGTGAGTTTTGTGGACTGTTGCCAGTTATCAACTTGCAGGATTGTGGACAAAAATTGGACTGCTCTACAGCTCTCCCTGAAAGCATTTTACTCCTCTTCCATGCACTGAGGATAATAAGGGCAAAGGTAGCGATGAGAAAAGGTTATAACACTTGACTCTTGTCTAAAACAAACATAGTAGCTGGGTAGATGACATGCTGCTAAGTCTAATCCTTTTAAAATTAGATTTGTCCTATGTTTCTTTTAAATACTTGAATTGCTTATTATATTTGCATTTTTTTCATATTTTATACTTGCATATACCTCATTTAACTTATACGCTTAGTTAAGCATATTATTTCATATTTATCCTTAAAGCCTCAGCAAGGTTGGGAAATGAGAACAGAGGAAGGTCCAAGGGAGCTGATATCTATGAAACACAGTAGTCATGCTATCTGTACCTCTTTCAAAATACCCGAGCACCCTGCTAACAATTTACCCCATAATGGTAAGTGATTATTTTTGCACTTTAAAGAACTGTGATTTCAGAATTTTTGGTAATCCCAGGAGTGTTTATCCATTTATTTATTTATTCATTAATTTTTTTAACTAAAATGTTAATGGCCTTTTTCTTTAGATGTATATGTTCACTTTTATAGAAAAGCACAATAACATTGTTTAATCAGCTGTTCTTTGACAAGGCCTGCATCTGCTCCTATTGAAGTTAATGACAAAATTCCCATTGATTTCAATAGGAGTAGGATCAGGACCTCTGCAGGATTTTTTTTTAAATGAAACAGGGTGACAGTGATAGATATGTACCTGATCCAAAGCACACTGAAGTTACTGAAAGTCCTTCCATTTATTTTAGTGGGCATTGGCTCAGGCCTGGTAAGCAGGTGTCCATTGAGAAATACATATGAACAACAAGAAGGATCATACGTTGGAAATTGTTTGGGTTTTGTCCAGCAACATGATTTTGGTGTGGAAGCTTTTTATAATCAGTGCTGCTCTTTGTATGGCAGATGTACCTGGTAAAAAGGAGAGGCGGAAGAGGAAGAAAATGAGGAGAGAGACTTGATGGGGCTGTGTAGCTGACAGTGTGAAAACCAAATAGCACGTGTGCTGATTAGCTGCAAGAGTTCTGCTTTCTGTGGTGATGCACTGAGCCCAAAGCAAAGAGAGGATCTAGAAGAATCCCAATAAATGGGAGAAGAGGAGAACAGGAACAGTGAGTGGGAGAAGAAGAGGGAGAGTGAGTGTGTGTGTGTGTGTATGAGAAGAGAGAGAATGAACCATGATAATGTGTGCAGGAGCTGGTGTTGAAACAGAATTGCTGTTTAAAAACAACCCACTGCCCTTGATCACTTAAAGAAAACTATTGAGTAGGTTTTAGCCCATTTGCATTAAAACCTTCAGTGTCCTATTACTTATCAACTTATCATGTTGTATGACATTACAGAATTAGTCAAAATCCATAAATGACTACGATTGTATTTAAATTCTATAGAGGATCCACCCTTTATTCCAGCCTCCATTTGCAATTTAAAATGTGACGTGAGCAGGTGTGCTCATTGACAGGTTAATAATGTACACAAGGTGGGTAGTACATGCTAAAGCAGATGTAAGTCATAAGAAAGCAGTTGTTAGACCTACGAAGAACAGCACCGCTCACCCGCAAATCTTCTCTTGAATCTTTTTAACCCCTTGCAGCTGTTGAAGTTGGATTTTTACCTAACACAGTGACATTTTAAGCATGATCCTTTTGCTATAACTGTATTTTAGCCAGAGAGATCTTGTTGAGTATATTTTTCCAACCTGCAGTTTGGCAGTTTTTACCATTTTATTACTTAATTTCTAACATCATAAGCCAAGTATCCAGATGAAAGTTAAAAAAAATCTGATGTTTTTTATAGTGAAGGGCATATACTTCTCATCTTCAAAGGGCAATTTAAAACAGAAAATATCCAGTAAAGAAAAGCAAATTGTTCTACCTTAAATGCCAGGAGTCTGTGAAAGGTGTAAGGTTGACACCACTGGTGGCTCTTTATCCACAGAACTTCTACAACACAGCAGTAATGCTGCCCTGTACTGCCCAGAGAATGTGCCTCAACCCTGATCCATCTTGGCAAGGCCATCTCGATGGGTGAGATGATAGTTATTCAGTCTCTGTGCCTATTGAACTCTGATGAAACTGCTAAAAAGGGTTCCAGTTACTGTTGGGTGTAAAATGGACATTTGTTCCCAGTTGGTCTGACATCACAAAAGTCATTTCACATAGGCCACCGTCAGCTGTTAACAGCTTGGAGTCATTACCAGCTACAATCACACTGGAACCACTGAGCTAGAGGTAAAAAGCTCCATACCTCAATACCTTGAACCACACAGTCCCTGTTGCCAATGTATTTGTGTAAATGTAATCTTATCTAAAACCCTGAATGGTTACATGTTGGCTTTCACCCATGCTGTAGGATTTAAAGCATTAGTATCCCTTAAAGAAACTACTGCACAGAAATACTGTATTTATAATCGTGTTAGTCTGTATTCACAAAAAGAAAAGGAGTACTAGTGGCACCTAGGAGACTAACCAGTTTTCTAAAAGAGCAATTATCCTATGGTCTAAGCACCTTTGACACAAATTAAAGATACAGTTAATCAAAGTAATACCAGCAGCTAACCTACTACCATAAAACATCCCTCCCTCCACAGACAAGCGCCCCATCTAGCCCCTTCCTCACACAGAACCAGAGATAATAAATGAGCCTTGCAATATGCCCTGAAGGTGAACAAAATAAGATTAGTTCAGAGTCAGACACATAGTTTTGGGCTTTTTTCCCCATCACACAGGATATTTTTCATTCAATAGTACACTTTAGAATTTGCATATCTTAATGCTTACATATCAGTTAAGAGAAAATATAGGCAATTTATGAATGAGGCTAATAAAGCAAACAATATCTTCCCTGACAAGCAATTTGTTAATACATATGCATAAAACTAACAAGAAAATACTTGACCTTATTGGGAAAACAAATCTGGTAAGGATTAGGATTTAGAGGATGGATTAATTAAATATGTAAATAACAGGTAAAATTCTAGCCCCATTGAAATCAATGGCAAAGCTCCCATTAATTCCACTGTGGCCAGGGTTTTACCTGAAATCTTTATTTAGCAGCAGAAGATAATTTCCATTGCTGAATACAAAGAAAAATATCTTAATAAAAGATGTAAGAGAAGTTAATAAGGTTGGTAGACTCAGAATTTCACCAACCTTTTTCTATGTGTCTGTCTGCAAACTTTGCAATGTTGTGTAATGTTGTTTTATTTCCAAAGTGAAATGTTTTATTTGTACTTATTTTTCTAATAAAAAATATTAAAATCACTGGCAACAGCCGAGTAACTTCTGAGCAACCCTCCAGTAATAAGTGTGTGTTAGAGAGAAAGAGAGCTGGAGGAAAAAAGCTTTTCGGTGAGAAAATGTTTCATTTTCAGGCTTCCACAGGGATATTGTGAAGCCATTTTTCAAGAATGGAAAAATCTCTCAACAGTGTTTTTTTAAGGAAAATGTATTGAAGTTTTTCTTTTGTTAGAATAAAAGAACACATGCAGTGGGCAAATGACATTCACTTGTACAGCTGAGAGTCTGACAGTAACAAGAAACAGATTATAATACAACTCACACTGAAGTCAGCTGGACCGTGGCCACATTAGCAAACCTTGTAACCATATTTCCCCACTTGTGTGGCTTCCCCAGTGGTAGTAAGTGGTCACTGTAATGTAGACAGGGCTCAGATGTTCATACTATTGTGTCATCTAAACTTACGTACTATTAATGTGGAAATGAATAGTTATACAAAATGCCATAGTGAGGAGTATATGTCCCCAAGACTACAATATTAATCGAGCATGCCCTGCTGTATGCATGAACAATTTCAAGGCTGCTTGTACACTAGTATACTTTGGCTATAATTCACCACCAAAGGTGTCAGTGTTACTGGTATGAGCGGTGGAAGGGCTAGTGTAGGTTAAGGGTCAGGTTACATAGCAGGTAAAACTGCCTGAGCCCTGTCTTAATTACATCTTCCCTTATTGCTACCATGTGTGGAACTGCACAACCTACTAATCCATCTCTACCAGGATTACTTTCAACATTCCAAACCACAAGCCAGAGAAAATCAAAATGTTAAAAAATCAAATTGTCACAGAAATGACTTTTCCTACTACTCCTAAATGCAGAATTCTGACCCTCACAGCCAGCTATATTACCGTGGTCTGACACCCAGGACAGACCAGATTCAGCCTTGTACCAGTGCCTGTGTTCTATAAATAAAAATGTCATGACTGTAAAGTCTGTTATCTCGTGGCCCCACGGGCCTAGAAAAAGTAATCTTACCATTGAGGAGCAATTGCCAGTTTCCAAGGGGAGTCAGTGCTCACTTCTAGCCATGCAGTAGATGAGATATCTGAGTTTATATTTCTGACATTTTATGTACAAAAAAATTATCAGATAATTTTTAGAGGATTTTATGGTTCCTCCTCAGGCTTATACAGTTTGACACATGGTAACTAAAGCTTTACAGGCAAGGCATTATGAAAAATAGTCTGAATAACATTTTTAGAAATTATAAAACAATTGCAAGAGAATTTTTCTGTGATGTGTCACATCCAAAAATCCTGAAGATATGGTGAATAAAGTAGGCATCCAACCTCATGTTAATTAAAGCTTTACATGACCCTCTGTCGTACGTTCCCTATACCTAAAACTCCCATATTTCACCTAAAAAGAAAAGGAGTACTTGTGGCACCTTAAGAGGCTAACAAATTTATTTGAACATAAGCTTTCGTGAGCTACAGCTCACTTCGTATTTCACCTGCCTACTAACCCTCACCTTCAGATCCAGCTGTTGTAAGTAGTTTGGAGATGAGTTAAATGGCTTCTTACCAGTAAAAGGCAAGGTATAATAATCTAACTACATAAAGTATATGGGATTGGAGTATCACATTAAAGGACTCAAAAGGTGACAGTGTTAGATCAGTAAAAAAAGAAGAATAAAAAAGCCACAAAGTTCAATGTGATTCATTTTATTTGGACAAACATTAAAAAAAATGCAAGTTTTCCAGAATTAGTCTCTTTTTTTTGATGTGAGCAATTGATTTTTATGAGGGAATTTGAAGCAAGAGATACCTGAACTCAGAACAACATAATTTCCCCCCTCTCTTTCCAAAAGAGTCTATCTCAGTGGAAAGGTTAGTTTCCTAATAAACTATACGTAAAATCCTGGTCACATTAAATTCAGTGGGAGTTTTGCTACTGACTTCAGTGAAGCTAGAATTTTATCTTGCAAGTCACTTACAGAAACATTTTCCCTGTGGGGTAATTTATTTAAAGGGTTTCCTTTCTATGATATACAGTATTCATATTTTGCTTTTACTCTAAAAGTTTGTGTCCATTTTAAGGAAAGTCCAGTCCACACTCAAAGCCCCGCTCTTTCCACTATCTTTCTGTAAGATTAAATATTTACACATTTCATCAAATAATGTGATTGACTCTGATAAACATTTACATTAGCAGTTACTTGTTTATTTAATAAAATAAGGAGCTGGGTTTTTTGAAGGAACCACCTTCAGCCTTTTTGGGAGACGGGGATTGGTGCTGCCGAGACTCGGGGTGGCATGGCTCCCACGTAGAGAATACCTGTGTGCACGGAACGGGGCACAGCTGTGTACCCGCGTCCCCTTTGTTGGATCCAGGGGCTGGAGTTAAAGTCACTGCCCCGCCCAGGCGGCTCCGCCCGCCCACTTCCTGGATACCAACAGGACCAGTCACCTGCATCCCAGCTGCCCTCGCCCCCCCCCCCCCGCCACAGAGCCCCTCCCCCTGCCGAGGTGAGTTCACCTTATGCAGGTATCCCCTCCCTGCCCTGTTGGGCCCCGCCCCCTCCCAGGCAAGCCCCGCCCCTTCCCTCCGAGCTCCGCTCCTGGCTGCTCTCCAGGAGCGCTGATGAACTTTTCCGGAGGCAGCTGATCCGCATTAGAGATGCTGTGCGACGATTGGCGGAGTCGGCTGCCAATCGCCCGTGGCCGTGGTAACGCCCCGCCCCTCTTCCGCCGCGCCCCCGTTGTTCGCCGTTGATTGGCCAGAGCGGCGGTGAGACGGCGCTTCTCTCCTCCACAGGAGAGGGGGAAGGGCCTCGTTGATTGAGACAGCGAGCGAGTGTCCCGTGTGAGGAAAAAGCGCTGTTGCCGCCGCTATGACGTTCAAGGGGAGCCGGGCCCGGGGCCGTTTCTACAGCACCCGCTGCTGCGGCTGCTGCCATGTCCGTACCGGTACCATCATCCTGGGGACGTGGTACATGGTAAGAGGCCCCGCACCCCGCGGGGAAAGAAGGGGGCTCCCTCAGCCTGAGCGCGCTTGTGCGGTGGAGAGGGGGCGCTCTCCCTGTGTCTCGCACTACGCATGCGTGTGGAGTTCGTCCGTTGCTGGGCCGGCAGGCTACCCGAGGAGTAGGCAGTACAGCGCATGCGTGCCTGGGGCGGGGACGGTGCCTGGTGGCCTGTATGCTGTGGCTAGTCCTTTTGTGAAACTGCGTGAAATCCTCTCTTTCCTCCGGCCTTCTTCCGCCCCCGCCCCCTCCTGCCTCGGGAGGGGGCCTGTGTCCTCGCCCCTGCCCCGGCCAGTCGCCGCCCAGCTCTTCCTGCGCGTCTCGCCAGGCTCCGGGCTGGGCGGCGCCCGGCGGGGCCAGAGTCGCTGCGGGCCAGCCGGGCCCTGTTCACGTTCAGGCCCCCCGCCCCCGGGGACTCGCTGCTTGTGCAGGGCCCCGGGTTGCCGCTCCCGCAGAGTGCGGGGGACCCTCCGCCCCCCGCATCGCTTTACCTCACGGGAGGAGGAAAAAGTGGCGCCGCACTTGTTCACTCACCTGAGCCCCTCGTGCTGCTCTCGGAGAGTGACCAGACAGCAAGTGCGGAGCATCGGGACGGGGGTAATAGGACCCTATATAAGAGAGACCCAAAAATCGGGACTGTCCCCGTAAAATCTGGTCACCCTACTCTCTGGCCTGTTTCTTAGTGGAGGTGTCCCGGGGCAGGGACTGTTCTCTGTGTCCCCAGCAACTCTGGATACGTTGTCTTACTAAATGATAACCGCGAGACATGACCCACGGGGGGGGGGGGGCGGTCTGAGTAGGTGGAGGGTAGGACAGTAAGATTGTGTGGTTGCTTGAATGACTAGGATGTAACATTTGCGAGCATGATGAGATTTTTAAAATGAATGTCTAGAAGCATATAAACCTTGAAGAATTAAGGATTGAGTAGGGCCCTGGAGGAGGGAGTGGATGTTTTGGTGGACAGGATCAGAATGGGAGTTCCAAAAAAGCCAGCGTGAAAATATGCGTAAGTGGGTGAAAGGAAAAGGACATGTAGGGTCACTCTGTGAGCAAACTACCATGAGTGAAGCAAGCATTGGAAACCAGTGAAGGAGACACAAGGGAAAGAGCAGACACATAAGAGACAGCTAAATTGTGAAGGGTTATGAAAGTTATGCCAGAGGTTAAATTTCATCAGGAGGTGATAGGGAGCTAGCAGTAAGTATTTTTTTTTTAAAGAGTGGCTAAAAGATTATAATACCGGACAAGTTAAATGCATTTTGTCATCTTTTGCTATCAAAATGTAAATTTCCCCTCCTCCAACCAGCTAGTGATGCTATTGTCAGTCAGCCACTTGTTAAATTTTCCAGAAAGCACCTTTGTGGTTACTCCATATTGCGCATCATGCTTGGGAGAGGTTTCCAATAAAAAATGCAAAACTAATGCATTATTTTCCTTTGCTGAGATGCTTACAAAAACTTGACAGTGGTTTGGCAGTTGGTGTGTTGATATCGTTGACTCTCATGCTGATCAATATTGCCTCATTGTTTTCTTCTATTCCTCTGTCTGTTTTTTGTTTTTTTTATGTAGATTTTTTCATCTGTTTCAACAGATGGTCCATGACTGGTGCTCCTAAATATTAGGGTAATACTGATAAAGCTCTGAAAATAGGTGCAGATTTCAAGAGAAAATGAGAATGAAAAGGCCACCGACAGATCTCTCAGGAACACTGATGAAATCTAGGAGGGGAGGAGGAATAGATGCCAATATTGTCAATTTGCCATTTGTTTGCCCTTCCAAAACAGTCTCTGGTGCTTTTGGTCAGACAGGTAGGACCTCTGCTCTGGATGTGGGTTGGGGGAGGTGAGGCAGTGTCACGAATAAGACGGTGATCTGAAGACGCTACTAAAAGTTAGGGCCGGGGCTTGAGAAACTATTGTGGAGTGAGCTAAGTAGGGTTATGAAGTAACTAGTCTCCTGGGAGGTGTAATCTGAGTCCTTCACCCAACTTCTGGGCTGG